ATTTACTATGTAAAGTGCCAAAATAATTTGGGATGGCATGTATAATACATTTGATAGTTTATTAAATAGAAACAAGACTCAGAGAATACAATTATGACAAAAACTAAATCTAAACTATCTAATATTATTAACTACCAAACCACTCGTCATGCATGAAAGCACCCCACGTGTGCACTGTCGAGTGAATTTTTGCTCAGAGGGTATGATTCATTTTGAAACGGTCATTCTTAGCATAAATGCCCCTTTTTCTTCACAAGGCGGATGCTCGTGCTCTTTTATCGTTCTGTTCAATGGCACGCTTTACTGCTCTTGGTTCTCCTTCTCTTTTCGATTGGGCTGGTATACACTTTTGCCTTTCACAAATTAAAGGTTTTGCTTCGCATAAGAATGGTCGTCCTGAATTTTGGATCTTCCGTATTAAACTCCTTTTGGATATACTGCCTACCTTAACTACTTTTCAACAACGCAAACCTTATTTATACTCTTCAGATTGGCTTTGTCCACAATGCAACTCTGCTCCTGAAGATTTGAACCATCTTTGGACTTGTCCATATATTCTCCCTGATCTCAATCCATGCTTAACATATCGTTCTGAAGTGATTAAATTCAGAGATTCCTGCTTATCTGCATTTCTATCCCTGAAATCATTGGATGTTGCTTTCCAGACTGGATTCTCTGCTTTAGACTGTTGGAACTACAATACTCCTTCTTCGTCATGTTTTTGGCTCACTAGAGGATTGTTACCTGCGCATTTAACGATGTTTTTGAAACAATACTTTCCTCTCTCTGTTATATACAAGACTATTTCTCCTCTTCTTAACGATTTCCAGGTCGAACTTTATGGTGAAATTTGGTTATGTCAGAATGTTCTTTTCCATACTTGGGAAGAGTCACAGGGTATCTCGGCTGCTTCCAAATTACATGGCCTCTCCTTAAATTCTCCTACTATTATTACTTCTTCACAATTACACGATTCTTCTTTGGCGACAGTTTCTCAGGATTCCTGGATTTCTTGGATATCTTCTTCTATAATTCGGGGTGGATCATGGATCTCACACTTGGATTTTCTGCGCCGCTTAACAGTTCAACCTCTTAGGATTTCTTTTCGGTAATGGACTGGATTTTTGGATGTTGGATAGTTGACTCATACTGGCCTTCGGGTAAAGTTGGGGTATGCGATTCTGTAATAGTTTAGTTCTTCTTTGCTTTAATTTATTTTAGTCTAGATTTCTTTACTTGTATGAGTCGTGAAGCTACTCTTTTTATTTTTTATTAGTTTATTTTCTTATTTTTGTAATACTGTTCGATCTTATTTTCAAAGTTAAAATATAAATAAAAGATAAAGTCAAAAGACTGTTTGCACAGGAAAAGGATAAAACTACCACCATTCGATTCGTCTCAGTGAGATGATTCTAACAAGCTATGATACATCTTTGTACGATTATTAGATGCCAAGTTATTTAATATATTCTTTATATAACTGTGATTATAAACGGTTCTTTTTAATATAAGATTTTTGAGGATAGGTGTGATAGTGACTATAGATAGATTGTGACTATATAGGATAGATTTTAATAATAAGTGTTTTGAACATTCAACTGGTGTGACTATATAGTAGAATGTGACTATAACGGGAGTGACTATAGAGGGAGTTGACTGTATTATATTATGAATTAATTTTTTCAATTACACCATTATTATCTTCTTTGATTTTATCTTTATCAATATTTAAACTTTTAATCATATCATTTAATATTTTTTTCATTTGTTTTAATTCTTCTTTAATTTCATTTTTTGTTTTATTTTCCTTCGAATTTTCTTCTCTAATTTCATCATTAATTGCTACTAATTCTTTCAATTCTTTACTGATAAATGGAAAATAATCAAATTCAGTCTTATTATTATTAATTGCATTAATTAATTTACGAACTTCAGTAACAGGTATATCATAATAACTAAAATAAAATATAGTTAATAATAATATACAATAACTGGCAAATTTTAATATTAATAGATAAATACTTACATCCAATCTGGAAACCAATTTTTATTATATTTCTGAGAGGATAACATATAAAATAATTCAATTTCCACAATTATCTTTAAAAAAAAATAAAGTGTAATTAGTAAAAAATTTGCTAATATAATTAAAATAAAAAAAAAAGAAATTACCTTTGCTTTTTGAAGTAAAAATTCTTCTTCATTGTTATAATCATCAATCGCTAAATTGAGCAATCCAATAAATAAATTCATAAGATAAATTACTGTAAAAAATGTAAAGGTAATTAATAAGATTGACATTGTATGATTTTCACGATAAGTCCATGGTGATAAAGATCCAGAATCACCTATAATTATATCAAAAAGTTATTAAAATATTTTATTACAAAAGAAATTGGTTTGTAAATAAAAAAGTAAATTATTACCAGTAATAAGTTTATATACTGCTAAAAGTGAAGTAGGAAACCAATTAAACAAATTAGTATTAGAATCAGGAGGTTGTACTAATGTTATAGTGTTATTTGTAATTTCATTTGAATTAGCAAGATAATATTTAGTTGCAAGATTTCTTGGATCATTATCATCATTAACTTCTGTAGATCTTAAAATAATAAAAAATGCGTGAGAATATCCAAGTACAATAAAAAATAAGACTACCAAGAATGGAAAAACTTTTTTTGCAACACCAATTATTATAGCAAAATAAATCCCAAATGATTTAAATACTCTAAAAAATAATAAAAATTTGAAACTTAATAATATAAGAGATATTGCTATAAGCCAAAGGAGTTGACTTTTATTAATAAGCCAATATATAGACACTATAATGGGTAAAAGATAAGCTCCAACATCTATTAAATAAATTAAGTTAATTGTGTTTTAAATGCAGAGCAACTATTAAATAAATATTACTTACCAAATAAATTCCATAGATCATTAAAATATTCTTTTGTTTTCCATAAACATTGTTGAAATTCAAAATATAAATGAATGAACCCAAGTAAAATTGAAATTATGAAAAGCAACCCACGATAAAAATTAGAGATAAAATTATGATCTAATGTAGAAGCTAATGCATAAAAAATATAAAAAATTGTATAAAACATCCAAATCAAATAATAATAAATCCATCCAAAAGTTTTCCACTTATAATCTATAATTGCAGCAAAATTCCACCAATTATAAAAATGATTGCTATCTATATTACAAAAGAGAACAGATTTTTGTTTATATAAAAATTCATTCCAAATATTATTTGGGCCATTTTTGGTACTATGATTATTTTCGGTCTTGTGATCTTTTTCTTCTTTTGTATCTTGATTATTTTCAGTCTCATCATCATTATGTTTGATGCCACGACTACTTTTGGTGTGCTTATTTTCAGTCTTATGATTTTTATGATTTTGGTATACACAGATTTGAGGAAAAGGAACAATGAAACTGATTGTTTGGACTTCTTCCTGTATCCTTAAATTCTGAATTAAACTTTTAAAAAATGAAGATATAGACTTAAAATAATCATTGCCCAGACTTGGTTTTTTAATGCGGATACTTAAATGTGAATAAAGTGAAGTATTTGTTGACCTTTTAATGGCATTACAAGCAGGAGATAATAAAAAAGATGTGCGTGTGATAAATTTGATTAAGAAATCAGGACAATTACATAATTTAGGTAAATTTAAACTAACAAAAGGCAACGATGCCATGTAATTGTGATTATTTTTAATTGATTCGAAAGTTTGATCAAGAATATGTTGAACAATATCATCGTTTCTATCATTAATTGCTATATTTAATATTTCTGATCCAAATTTTGATAATGCTAGCGTATCATTTATAATACCTTTAAAATCATATCTAAAAGTATCAATTTGTTTGCGTGAAACAAAAAATCTTGAGCATGGTATTGAGGATTTCGAATCATTAAACTCATTAGCTAAAACTTTTTTAATAAACGGAATATAATCATTGATAAATTTAATATCGTTCTTATTATTTAAAGAATTTTCGAATTTTTCATTCCATTCATCATTATACCAATAGTATCGACAACTCAAGGTTGGTTTACCAAAATCGTTTAAGATTCTGATTCCACTCGTATCTATTTGAACCAAATACTGGTTATATAATAGATTTAATGAAAGTATATAAGAATTAGTTTTATATACTGAAGTAACGCCATTATGTTCGATTTTTATAATATGATTACTCTCAAGAACTACACGAGTTCCATCTTTAATTTCAATCTCACTTTTTGGTACATCCTTGATGACCTCTTTGATGATATCTTTAAGCATTTTTTGTATAAATATAAAGGTAGATAAAGTATAAAAACTAGTCTTGGTTTGTTGAACTAAATTTTCGTCTAACCCTGTGATATCTGTGATACAAACATTATTGTTACGAATAGAAACTTTTCTGTTTAATTGAGTTATCACATTTTTGTCATCAATAGATTCGTTAGTTTCGATTGTATCAAAAAGTTGATAAGGATCTATAAGTCTATATTTTTTATCAGACCCACTTTTGATAATTAATCCTTCAAAACCATTTTTCAAAGTTATGAATTCTATTGGAATATAAACTGCAAATAAGTTATAATTAGAATATATAAAAAATTCATCATATCAAAAATATACTGTAAGTATTGTAAAAGTAATACCAACCATCATCATGAAATTCTGAAATCAACACTCCACTTTCCATTGAAAATATGCAAACATAATTTGACATCGTTATCGCACACAATGTTTGACTTTTATTTATTACTGTAGTAGGAATCCCTAAAGCTATTTTGCAATTAAAAATGTATTGCCTATCTAAAGTCATTGTCAATAAATCAAATTGAAGTATTAACGATTTATTCTTTTGCTTAACAAATAGAAATAACTTTGTCCGGCATATATTACACTTTATATGAGTACATTTCTTTAAATTTTCAAGATCTTCTATATCATAAATTTGAGAATATTCCCGAGAAGCAGTATTATTTGGCTTATTTGTAAAACAATACTTGTAAATTTTGCAGTTATTGCGATTATTATAAACTTTCGCTTGAATTAAATCACCATTCGGAAGGAATCCAATAGAATTTTCATTAACATAATTAACATAATCATTCTTTAGCTTAAGAAATCGATCACTAGCACGATTATTATTTAAATCGATAATAACTACAATTACGATATAAATTATTAATTAAGCATAAAATCAAATTCCTATTGTTTGCGTCAAAATAAATACCTACAATGACTTCTATCATTTCCCTTCGTACGATAAAATAATACCAATATTTTTTTACATAGTATAAATGATTCTATTTTGTCGAGCTCTTTAAGTCGATCATGTTGAAAGTAAACATTGTCGGGTGGTTGTTCACCCTTTTCAACGTTGACGCGCCATCCAAGAATTGAATTATCATTTTTACTAAAAGTAACAACATAAGCATCGAGAGTTGGATCATATTCTTCATTGTCAGTATCATACATGTATTGAGAAACAAAAATATAATCAATTGATTTCCTATGTTTCATATGCTCTTTTGTATCATCGGTCGTTTTCACATATTTTTCTATTTCATCAATTGCTTTCATATGATCTTTTGCATCATCGTTCTCTATAAATTTTTCTGCTTTATCCTCTGCTTCTGGAGGAATTATAATTTCAATATCTTTCTTAGTTTCAAATTCTTCGTTATCCATATCACGTGAATAAATTTTTATTCAAAAAATTTATAAAATTATATTTTTTTTTTGGCGACCTTAAATAATAAAATTATAACTGTTAATGTATATGTATGTACGTGTGAAAATTTTTATTGTGGCTTATAAATTAGGAGTTGAAAGTATACCGATTTAGTCGTAAAGATCAAGAAAAAATAGATTGAGATTATCAGGAAAATGATATTTTTAGCTTCATTTCTATGGCACGCCGGACTGACGTAAAAGCTAAATCATTTGACGTTTAAGGTTAACTGCGAAATTCAAATGATTTGCTGTACCGACAAACTGTTTGACTTTATAGTTAAATTCTTTGCCAATACTGTCAAACAGTTTGGCGATATGAAAATAATTTTCCATATTTGGTTAAAATTCAAATGGTGCAATTTAAGTAATAATTTTCTTTTTAAAAGTCACGTGAAATCCTATTTCCTTTATAGGAAATTTGTTTATAGATTTGCAAATACTTTGGAATTAATGGCAAATGCTTTGGGAATTAATGACAAATGGTTTATATTTAACGCCAAATGCTTTGTACTCCAAAGTCAAATGATATGGTGTTAACGTCAAATGATTTAGCTTTTACGTTAAACATCTGTCCAGCCTGGCGTGCCATACATTTCATGCATTCCCCAGTATCACCGCGGAAGTAAATCACTGTGCGACTAAATCGATAACGACAGCAGAATAATTTCTAGCTAAATCATCAATTTTTTTTCATTACTTCTTGTCCTCACGTACGCTAGTTTCCACCAGTAAAATTTCGCAAAAAATACTATATAACTTGAAATGTCTATCACTTTATTCTGTCTCGTCAAAGGTAATACAACCGCGAATGCTTTCTCTGTTAAAATAAGTAGAGACGGAACCTATTAGAGAGCTCAAGGATGCTATTAAGGTGAAAAAGGCACCAGAGTTCGATAGTTTTCCTGCAGACAAGCTCAAGCTTTGGAAAGTAGAAATTTCTGACGATCACAAATTGTTAGCAACAAGAGAAATAGAAGACTACTGGTCTGAGAAATCTGCTAAGAGGCACATTCATGTCCTAGTCGAACCACCAGTAATAACCACCTCTTCAAGTCGTGAACAGGAATTGCTTGACGAACTCACCTCACTTCGCGCATTGCAAATTCATTTCAGTGTCGTCTTTGCATTTTATTATTTTTATGTTGATTTAAATTATTATCTCGGCCTCCCATACAGTATATCCAAATTGTTTTGTATGGTATTAAAGAAAGTCCTAAAGTATCGAATACATTTTTGGTTTTGCCATTAAACTTTTTGTGGCGCTTTTAAATTAAAATATTAAAGGTAACAAATCATTTTTATGCAAAGTGATCGATATGGTGATAAAAGAAAGTGCGCTATGCTCAAATAAATAGTTATCTGTGTTAAAATTAAATAAAAAAATAGGCTGATATTTGCAGCGCTGGCACCCAACCAATAAAGTATAAATAGAACCTAAATACTTTGTTGAAAGACAATTTATTATAGGAAATAGGAAAGATTATTATTGTAATTCATATAATAACCTTTAGTCCTTTAGTAAAATTTTAATAAAGATCGAATTAAAGCTAAATTTTTTTTAAAATAAACGATGTGGATAGGAACGGTTTTGCCTGGAGTTGTTATGGTTTCAATATTTCACGTTATAATTATTACATAACAGATAACGAAATCAAATGGTCACGCACCATCTACTCTTTATTCCTTGCAAAGGACATTTTTTTGCAGTAATCGATAATAAAAAAAGACACTCGAGATTGCCTTTTAGGAATTGAGAAATTAATGGTGCGTGATTCTCTTTGAATTAGATAATAAAACTTTATAAATTCAAGATTAACGATTCATTTACAAAAATGATGAAATAATTGACGTACTATGCAAGTAATAATACAGTATAGATAAATTAAGAAATTAAGTAATTATTATTTGATCATTGTTTCCGCGATCAGACAAATAGTACAAATCAGGATTTTGAGTTTTACACCTAACTGAAATGGATTACAATATATTATCCAATCATAATCGAGCAATAATATTGATTTTCTTTAATGAATTTCAGAACAATTTAAAAAATATTTATATTCTTATGAATTTGGAAGCATGAGATTTTGAATCCGATTGTTACGAATATTGTGAACTTAATCGTTTTAGACAAGAGAAATTAACAAATAAAGATACGATAAATCCTTATAAATATAATAATATTTTAACAGATTTGTATCTTAATAATATCTGTTAATTGTTTGTTAATAATAAACCAAAACTGGCAATGATTTATTTAATATCACGAAAATGGTTTGAATATTATTACGCGTGAAACTTCTTACGCCGAGAATATATATCTTGATTGTTAACTTAACTCAATTGGGAAATACTTTTTGTAATGTTCAATATACATTTGAGCCTTAATTCTTGTTATTATTGGTTTCTTGAAAAACTTAATAACCTAATAGGGATATCTTTAGCGATACAAAGAGTGACTGACATGGGTCAGTATTTCAGTATTTATCCAATAAAAATCTCATAAATTGGCTAATATGAAACGTCTAACAAAACATTATGAATGACCAAACAATAACGAAAACATTCGATCTAAACCATAGATATATTCTAATAATTAAACGAATAATTCCTCCTAAATCCTTTGTGATTTTATTGTTCATCGTTAATAATAACGGAATTTACGCGATCTGGTCGTTAAAATGACTGATGCGCTAAGATACTAATCATATTATCCTTATAATAATGCTAGCTCTAATTAACTCAATTGGGAAAATGTCTTTGTAATGTTATTATAGTTTCTCGAAAGATTAATGAGAAAATTTAAATAACGTATAAATATATATATAACAAAAATTTTATAAAAGATCGGGTAAGTAATTTGTTTTATAGCTAAAACAGCATAACTATCAACCATAATTAAACTTTTACCCTAGATCCAAATTCTGTGAGAAAAATGTGTTGTTTAAAGACTCTTTATGCTTTGTGTTCAAATTATTTTTCTCAAACAAACCGGGATTCAAACCAAAATATGACAACAGTAGTAAGATTCAATAATTTTACATTCACCATTCCAGTACCCACATCCTCCCAAGCATATACTCTTCTTTATCAATATAAAAAATCTAAAGAATTTAAAAATGATCCATCTTTTCTTTTATTTTATCTCGTACTGAAAAATTTGATCAATAATTCTAATGATCCGCAATTGACACAAGATATTGTCTATATTGCTAGCTACGCTTGGAGATCTGCAGAAGTTGACTTTAGAGAAGCTTATGAATTATTGATGGAGGATGATAATGTAAAAAATGCTTTAGAAAATTAAACAAATACGAAAGATTGTATTACTTTTGTTGGATTATTTGGTATATAATTTATGGGATTATTATTTCTTGAGTTAATGCTTATTTTTTTAAAGATACAATACCAACTTGATTAATTGTTATAATACGTTAATAATATATTATGTGATCGAAAATTCACTCAATTCCAGCAGGAATTGAAGTAATATAGTATTGTAAGATATTAAACTGTACTGTGCATAAAAAAACAAATAGAGAGCTATATTCGTAAAGAAAGATCAAAAAAAATATATATAATAAATTATCGTTCAGCCAATTAGAATCATGCGAATTTTCATAATTGATATTTTTTGTTTTAAAACTGTTTAATGATGTATTTGATGTGTTTTATATTGGCGAAGTTATTAAATTATCATTAGATGTTTTGAATTTATTTGTAAACTTTTACACTTACATAAATAATAATACATTGTTCAATAAATAATATAAAATAATAAGTATTTTTAGTAAAAACATGACTATTATGCAATTAGATACGTCTTTCTCTCTTTCTGCTTATTTAATTTGGATTTTATATTAATAGAACGTACTCACAGCCGATGATCTTTCTGAGTTAATTTTTAGCACGGTCATGTGATTGGTTTAATCTATTATGATGAGTATTTAAAAAAAATATTTTTTTAAAAAAAATCTTATGACCATTTAAATAAAATTAGGGTTTAAGGCTTGATGTGATTAAAATGCTTGAGCTGTACTATTTTAAAGAAATGTAAATTCTGATACATTTTATTGAAAGTTATTTTTATTATATATACATATATAACAAAAAATTTTTGCTAAAATAGTTTTTAATAAAATATCCAAAAAAGTGTTATCATTAAGAAATTAATTTACTTGTTTTACAAATCACATAATATTTAATATAGTTAATATTAAATATTATTTTTAATGTTTTTTATGTTATATATTATACTATTAATTTTGGTAAAAAAAATTTGAAAAAGTTTATTTTATTTTATCAGTTTCAACAACTTTTCTTTATAATAAAAAAGATGTTTAATAATGAAATTTATAAAAAAATTTCTTATATAATTATATGTCAATAAATAGTAACTAAAATGAAAATAAATTGTATAATTTCTTAGTTCTAATTATCTGTCAGTTAATTTTTTTTATTAATACCATTATAAATAGGTTAAAAATACTATCAATATATGAGCTTTTTGTAAAATAATTTTTACTTATTACATTTATATATATATTATTCAATATTAATTTGCTATTAATATTAATTAGTAATTACTATTAAATATTAATAAGTTATTATGATAATTTAAGAATTAAGATAATTAATTTAAAATATAGTTAATAATATTTCATAACATATTTATAAAAATTGATCAAATTTATTAATTTTGATATAAATTAAACTTGATAAATAATTTTTAGTATTTTTTTTTATATACAAATTTTTATTACAATAACAAGTTCTTGATATTTATTTACTTATTAATAATATTAAATTTAAGCTATTATTTGTAAAGGATCATTGCAATTTATTTTAATTTGATTTTTTTTAATTTGGATAAAAATAAAGATTTTCTATAATAAAATTCTATTTATAATAAGAGTAATCCATAAAAATTTGTGATTAAAGAATTTATTTAATTTTTTTTTTTTTTATATTCTTTAATAATTTTAAAGAATATGACTTATTCAATCATTATTATATTTGACATCTTACACGTATAATTTTTCTTCTCATACACATAGTAAAATTTTATTAATTAAATTTCACATAACCAAACTTTTTCATTGTTTTGAAAATATACCAATTTTATTAATAGATTATATTTTTGGGTTGAAATAGTATATTTGAAATAAAAAAATATTAAATTAGAGTTACCAATGCGTAATATAAACTAAATAAAGGGGAATTGCATTTTATATGTAGTAGAGAAATCTTTTATTAAAATTTAAAAATGAACTAAATTTAAAAAATATAATTAATATTTTTAGTCTATTAGGATCATGCCGATCTTTTAAATAAGAGTGACCGATATTTTTACCTAATCAATATATTAAATTACGTGATATGAAAATTATCATTTGCCACTTTAATAATTTGTGAAGATCTTTTATAAATATGTATTTAGCAACGTATACAAATTATTGCACCCGAAACTTAATGAGGTCAATGAACCAAATAACCATTGTAGGTCTTCCCTTTTAGATAATACCCGATTCCCTGACCCTAATTATGGTCCTACGTAATAAAACCAAATAAATTCTTGTTTCAAATTGATTAAGGCAGGAGTGAATCACTTGGGTACCGAAAATTATGGAAACGGTTTACTAAATAAGAATTTCAGTTTAAAATAACACAAAGTTTATAATATACCATTTTTGGTTGGTCAATCGTCGGGATCAACTTTTCACGAATTTTTCTTCTCCAATAATAAGAAGTAACATAATTTTTGATTTCATGACAGTTTGAATCACAGCATGTATTCCGCACGGTTAATACAATGCATAACTATTGGGTTCATAATAAAGTAAAAATATTCGGACGTATTTTTACGCGCAGAAAATAGATTATTATAATATATAATCAATTACTAATCTTTTTTTGGTTTGTTAAAAAAGGGTTTTGTAATAATTTAGGTAATTATACGACGCGAATCATTAATTACAGTTAAAAATATTTATAAAACTGTAATTGATTTGTCATTTTTATTTGAATTATTAATTGTCCAATAAAGCTCATAAAAGTAGAGCATTAAGATAATTAGTTCAAGAATTCATCATTTTCAAAATTTTTACGATAATAACGATTAATAGCGACATCTTTTGAGGTATGTATCTAATTAAAATTCATTGTAATATTAATTTTGGTAATAAATTGGCAAACAAAGATGTTTTATTGTAGTAATTATAAAAGATCAAATTAATGACATAATGCTTATACCTTGCAGATTTATTCATATGTGAAAAGAAAACGAATTTTATTTTGTTGGCCTATTATGTAATCATTACATACAAGTGTTTCAAAAATAGACAAGGAAACAGCAAATGCCAAATGCACCAATACAGTAATACTGTATATTAATCAAATCCAAATTACGAATTGTATTACTTTCATTATATTACTTGGGCATTATCAAAGTATAAAGAACAAAATTCTATTGAAATTACACTTATTTTACATATTCTTTTTTCTTTTCTTTTCTTTTCTTTTATTGAATCCCATCTTCATGAATTCGTATACTAATATTTTCATAAAAGGTTACTCCTACAACTAAAAAAATGAAAATCCATATCAGGTTTAGTGGCTTCATTATTAATGGATCAATAATAAGACAAGAAAGGACAAGTCCAGACCCCGCAAAAAATTATTAACGAATTAGGTTGTTTGCTCCCATACACATTTTTTTTTTCCAATTTTTACAATGGGAAACTTCTTTTGTTTGGGGTTTTTTTTTTAAGAAAAAAAAAAATTTTTTTTTTTTAAATTTTATTGTATTATTTTAAAATGGAATACATAATGATATTAAAAATTATAGTGATAAATGAATTATTTGATTATTTACATATTTACTTTTTTAAAATTCACCGGGAATTTTAAGAAAAAGTCTATTTTTATAAATGTCTTTTTTTCAATAAAGAAAATTGTCTATAAAAAAAATAAAAATAAAATAATAATAATGAAAAATAATAATTATAATGTTTTTTAACTTCTTGCGCCAAGATTAAATCTTCTTGAAGATACCAAAGGCATCATAAATAATTTTTTCTTTTCGTGTATAACTTCTATTTGTAAAATTGGTTCTTGAATTTGTGATACTTGAGGTTCTTGACTGAAAGAAGTTCGTTGTATTTGTTTTTGTTTTATAGTTGTATTTGAAATGGTAGAATTTTTGATTGATTGTTGTTGTTTCTTGATGGTAGGTTTATAATTTATCATGGATTTAAAAATTCTATGAACGGCAGCATCATTTGGATAAAAGAAACTTGGAGGACATTCAAATGATAAAGGAGTTACCCAACGTTCTCCACCTCTTGATTTTGAATCATTGACAGGAGGTATATCAATAATTGAATAAATGAACTTGAAAGGAACCTTTAAATAACCTGTACGATAAACATATTGAATCTTTTGATGATTCCCTTCGCGTGATTTCACGGAAAATCCAACCGATTTTTGTATTAAATTTGCATCTTTTTGAGTTATCGCTTGTGTGGTGTCATGTAAAGCCACTTTATAAATCTTTGGACTTTTTAACATCGGTGAATGATAATATTTTAATTGGATGTCTTCTTCTTTTGGTTGAAAAACAAAATTTCCATTAGTTTCGTCCACGTGATGAAATTCCATTTTAACATTTGAACGCAATTTATGTTCTTGTCCAAAAGTTAAATTTAAACCAACGTTTTCTTCTTTAAATTTATCAGCCAAGCAGACGTTTGATAATCTTCTAAATTTTTTACAAACATTACTAAGTGATAATAATGTTGGAATATCTGCTTCCGAGAAAATCATGAGCAAAATTTCGTCAGGGAAAGTTTGTAATGATGAAGGAGTAAAAGGCATTGTTATTTCTATTTGTGAAAGAATTTGTTGATAAAAAAAAATTGTCTTTTTTTTTTTAATATAATACTTTTAATTGGATCGAGGTTTAATCTATCAAGATAAGTGTATTTTGTAATTATATTAGGATATTTTACTATTTAATTAAGAAAATTGTATTTTTATTTTTTATTTTGTATTTTTGGGGGATTGTCTCGTAATTCCTGTGTATTTATTTAAAATTTATAATATTAAGGTATATAGAGTGCTGTTATTGTAATAATACAGTACAGAAATAGGATGGAAATGGTCACTTCGTTGTTTAATTCCCGAATTTTTTCAATGATGTTCTAGATTGAGTACAATGCTTGTAATAATACCAGTTTTGGCGCCTTTTTAATGAATCGTTGTTTTTTTTCGGGTTGAACAAATCTACCTATTATGTGTATTAAACGTGACTCTGTCCCTATTTGACCAAAATAATAACTCCGTGTTTTATTTTTATCAGCCAATCAAATTGATTCATTTTCACTTTACATGTTCATCCTTCTCGTATAAAAGTTTAAACCGTCAATTTAATTTAAATTTGTTTCAGCATTTAATTAATGTTGAGTAAAAAAAAGAAAGATCGATTCAATTATAACTAGTTTCCTCAAAAATTAAACATTTGCAAGTAAAGAATTTCAATGTAAAAATAGAAGCAAACGTTCGTTATTTATTAGTATTGTTTATTGTTGTTTATTGTTTTGGACATATTAAGTTAGCGAATTAGTCGAGTAAGAATTCATTACTTTAACTGGATATGATCGACTTTTGTAATATATAGCATAATATTACATCAATATTTTCAAAAATGCTTTTGTGATAAATGCTATTTTTAAACATTTTTTTGTAGGGTTTGAATTCGACATTTTTTTTTTTTTTTTTTTTTTTGTTAACTATTTTAAATTAAATTTTAGGTATGTGCATATTTTAAATATACTAGTATATGCAGTAAATCTAATATCATAAAAATATCATAATAACAAAGGATGGGTGAAAAGATTTTATCTCTTATTACAAGAAGACTCGAATTTTAAATAAAAACCTTTTAATTACTTTGTTCTAATGTAATGGATGTAATTATCCTTTGAAAAATCTTTTTTTTTTTTTTACACAGTCTTACACGTGTGTAACAATTTAACTTTTTTTTTCCCCTAATTGTCAAACCTTCACTTTAAAAGGCAATTAGAATAGCGGCTCGATGATAATGATATAATGAAATTTTTTAACCATTCTTGTATTAAACCATTCTTGTATTGATTACCAAATAAAGGTGTGATTATCACCTTGTTCGTGGCTTACTTCGTCATTTTGCACATACAACACAAACAATACAATACGCCATTCGTTTTTCCAAAGAACTTTCAGATAACCGTATTTAATCTTCTATTTAGCTGTGGCTCAAAAGAATTCGGTCCAAGATCCGCGAAATTACCATTTTCATGGTACCTAATAAAAAAAATATATGACAATTTTGGAATCGTTTTGCCACAATACCATTTAAGAAAAAAGAAAAATTTTTCTTTTTCGGGTTTTAACATGCACAATTAAATCATAATTTGAAATTTTGTGTGAAAGATACAGTATTATTTGGAATTTTTTAATTTATCTATTTTTGAGACCAGCCTTTTGAATTTTTAATCTTTTTCTTTTTTTTTCGACAGTTCTCAATTTTGAACATTATTTTACTTAAATCAAATTTAATATTTAAGCATTGATTATTATTGTATGAGTGAATTAGGTATAAATTATTATATTCTATTTTGACTTTTTTATTTTTTCTTGGATTGCAAAAAAGGACTTAAAAATAATGTTTTTTTTTTAACTTGGGATCGGTAAAGACATATTTAAAAAGACTAATTTATTTTCCAATTAATAGATTAGCAACCTTTGTTAATTTGCCACAGTCAGTAGTGGCGTAATTATTTTCTTTATAATTTTAAATATTCCAGTATTAAAAGACTCTCACTCAGAAATCATGTAAGGCAAAAACTGATAAATCACAATCCAATCAAGGTAGGACTTTATACATTTTAAATATTTTAAGTTCGAATTTAACAATGAATGAAATCGGTAGGAAGAGCATTTCCAAAATTGTGTTCGATTGAATAAAAGTGAAAGTTAGTAGAAAAAAGTTCACGTTACTCAATGTGATCGATCGCCGAATTAAGAGTTAGTTTAGTGATCGAAATGGTGCTATAATACGGCCAATCAATATTTAAGAATATAATGAAATCGCTGCTGTATTGAAGAATCCCAAGGACCAAGAAAGAAGGAGTTAGGGACGTTTGGAAAGACGAAGGAATTAAAATGTTGAGATTGAATAAAATATGATCAGATATCGAAATTATGACTATATATATATATATATATATATATACGATTTATGACGTTTCAATGGAGCACATCACTGCGTTTAACAACAATTTGAACCGCTGCTGTGTATTATATAAACCGCTGTTGAAACTATAGTAAATCAGTAAATATTTGCTATATAAATAGTGAATCCACTGATTCATGAAGGGTTGAAGTTACTATTAATTTAATTTTATCGTTAGAAAAAAAAATCATCTTCATCTCATCATAAAGAAATTTCCAAATATAGTATCAAATTTATCTAAATATGAATTCATATTAAAAATTATGATACAAATAAACGTCATAATTCAGTATAGTTCACCCTTAAACCTGATTTCGCTCTTCATTTAGTTGACAACTTCTTTCTTACTAAAATGGCATCTAATCAAAATAATAATTTAATGATTATTAGCAGTTCTCGAATTATTTTACCATATTCAACTGAACCTACGCCTGGTACAATTGAAATTGATAAAAGTACAGGAAAAATCATTAAAATTCATCCTTATAAATTATCGATTAATGATTACAATGAAGAACAATTTCTGGATGTTGGAAATAACGTTGTTATGCCTGGTGTAATTGATGCTCATGTGCACTTAAATGAACCTGGTAGAACCCAATGGGAGGGATTTGAAACAGGGACAAAAGCTGCTGCAGCCGGTAAACAATTTTTTTTTTTTATAAAAAATTTATTTTCTAATTCACAATGAATTATGTAATATAATAATATATTTTTTTTAATAAAAAATTTCATCAGGTGGTGTAACAACCGTAATTGACATGCCATTAAATTCGATTCCTCCTACTACTAGTGTTAGTAATTTACAAGAAAAGATTAATGCGGCAAGAGGAAAGTGTTGGGTAGATGTCGGTTTTTTTGGAGGTGTAATTCCTGGAAACCAGGTTTGTCGCAGCTTTTTATAATATATTTTCGGGGCTATTTTTTTTTTTTTTTTTTTTTAAGAAAAAAATTTTTTTATAGGATGAATTGGTTCCATTAATAAAAGCAGGTGTAAAAGGATTCAAAGGCTTTTTGATAGATAGCGGAGTCGATGAATTTCCTCGTGTAAATGAACAAGATGTTCGAAAAGCTTTTGAAAAGTTACAGGTAATGTTATCATTAATTATTTAGCAAGAACAATATAAGAAAATATTAGATTCGCATAAAAAAAATCCGAAAAAAAAAAAAAAATATTAATTAATTTTATTAATTTATTAACTTTTCTAGGGACAAGATTCATTTTTAATGTTTCATGCTGAAATGGAAGGAAGTAATACGAATATTCTTGAAACAGAATCAAAAGAATATTATGAACAAATTCCTCCAAATAATTATGAAAAATTTTTATTGAGTAGACCACAATCACTTGAATTAAATGCTATATCATTAATAATAGATCTTACTAAACAATATAAAAATAATGTTAAAACTCATATTGTGCATTTATCTGCTTCAGATGCTATACCTTTAATCCAACAAGCCAAATCTGATGGAATTAATTTGACCGTAGAAACTTGCTTTCATTATTTATGTTTGTCGTCCGAAAAAATACCTAATGGTAAAACTGAATTTAAATGTTGTCCCCCTATTCGTGAAGAAAGTAATCGAGAAAAACTTTGGCAGGTATGTAAAATTTACTTTTTTTTAAGGAAAAGGGAATAATAAAAAAAATTTATAATGGGGTTTTATCTTTTAAAAATGATAAGGCTTTGTTGGATGGAACTATTGATTATGTGGTATCGGATCATTCACCTTGTACGGCAGACCTAAAGAAATTTGATGATAAAGAAGAAGAAAGAGATTTCATAAAAGCATGGGGTGGTATTTCAACGTTACAATTTGGATTACCTGTATTATGGACCGAAGCTAAAAATAGAGGTGTTAGGTAATAAATAGTAATAATTTTCTAAATAATAAAAAAAAAAGCGATTATGATTAAAATTATTTGTTTTCTTTTGATCAGCTTTAAACAATTGTCAACCTGGTTATCAAAGAATACTTCCAAACAAGTTGGATTACATGATCGAAAAGGTGAGATTAAAGTAGGATTTGATGCTGATTTTGTAATTTGGGATCCCGAAGAAAAATTTGAGGTAAAATCTTATAATTTTTTTTTATTATAATTATAAAAAATCTTAAAAAAATCTTAAAAAAATCTTAATTAAAAAATCATACAAATCTTAATTACTAATAAAACATATAGGTTACAAGTGAACTTATTCATTTTAAGAATAAAGTAACTCCATATCTTGGTAATACTATTTTTGGAGTTGTACATAAATCTATAATTAGAGGAAATATTGTATATGATAAAAGTAATGGTGGACTTATCAAGATCCCCTGTGGCGAACTATTGGTTTAAATTAATCTACTTGATTTTGTTTAATTTTAAAAACAATTAAAATAGTTACAATAAATAATTTATCGTGATGCTAAAATTACGTAAATTTAACATGATTATCATGATTATACAATAAATACACGATTTCTCGAATATACGAAATACACGATTCTTGAAAATATGCAACTCTTTAAATATGCGATTCTTCAAATATACGTAACATACGATGCTTCAAATATACATAATATACGATGCTTCAAATATTCGAAACGTAACAGCTCTTCAAATATACACGATTCTTATAATATACACAATTCTTCAATGTACAGTACGTAAACATACGATGCTTCAAGTATTCGAAATAAACGATTCCCCAAATATGCGAAATATACGTGATTCTTTAATATACGCGATTTTTCGAATATGCATAATATACGATTCTTCAAATATTACGAAATGAACGATTCTTCAAATATACGAGATTCTTTAAATATTCAACCCGTCTTTAAATGTACTTTTTTTAGAAAATAAAAGAGAGAAAAAAGGAAACGAAATACACAACTTTTCATATACAATTATTACCTCTTAAATATACGCATCTTCTTGAATAAATTCACCGAAAACTTTGTTCTCTTTTACTCTATTTTCTTTGGATTTTTGTAGTCTTTTATAATAATTCGGTGTTATAATAATAAAACGGTCGTGCGTAATTGGAGTTAGTTTTTCGTTATCATCTAGGTATTTGTTTGCTTCTTCGACTTGTGTTCGTTCTTTGATAGTTTCACCTTGCAAAAAAAAATCTAATTTTTTATTGCTTGACATATTTTCCCACTCTATCTGTGCGGACTTCATAGAATCCGTTCTTTTAACATTCTTGCTCCCATGTTTTCTAATTTTTCCGTTATGATGGTTGTTAGAAAACAATATCCACGCGTTTGGAGTGCGGGATTTAGAATGGTTCTTATTTGCTTTTGGTTTACCCATCATTTTAAAACAATGTAAAACTAAATGTGTGTTTTTTTGAATAACGGTGAGATTTTTTCTCTTTATATAAGAAAATTTTTTGATTACGTAGATTAAAAATAAACTTAATAATAAAAGATTGCGAAATTTGAACGTAATGCAATTCTTTCAAAAGGAATCGCACAAAGAAAATTTTAGAAGAATCTTTGTTTTTGTTTCTTAATAACTTTATCATTATCATCTTTTCGCGACAGAAATTTGATTATGTCATTCATTATTTTTGTAAGCAATTTGTTTTGACACTTATTCGGAAATAGAGCTCCTACGATGCGGAGTTATACAAAAGGAAAAAAAAAGATTGCGAAATTTAAGCGCAATGCAATTTTTTCAAAAAAAGGCACAAGAAAAATTTCAGAAGGATATTTCATCTTTTCGCGTCGGATATTAATTTAATTTTCTTTATATTCTTTATATTTGAAAGATAATATTAAATTATGTAAGCAATTTATTTTACGAACATATTCGGAAATAGAGCTCCGACGATGCGGAGTTATATAAAAGGAAAAAAAAAGATTGCGAAATTTAAGCACAATGCGATTTTTTCAAAACAAAGGAGCAAGAAAAATTTCAAAAGGATATTTCATCTTTTCGCGATGGATATTAATTTAATTTCTTTATATTCTTTATATTTGAAAGATAATATTAAATTTTGTAAGCAATTTATTTTACGACATATTCGGGTATCTGACGATGCGGAGTTTTACAAAGGAAAAAAAAAAGATTGCGAAATTTAAGCATAATGCGATCCTTTCAAAACAAAGGCGCAAGAAAAATTTCAGAAGGATATTTCATCTTTTCGCGACGGATATTTAATTATGTCATTCATTCTTTAGATTGAAAGATAATATTAAATTTGGTAAACAATTTATTTGACACCTATTCGGGTATAGCTCCGACGATGCGGAGTTATACAAAAGGAAAAAAAAAAAGATTACGAAATTGAAGCGCAGTGCGATTCTTTCAAAAAAAGGCACAAGAAAAATTTCAGAAGGATATTTCATCTTTTCGCGACGGATATTTATTTAATTTTCTTTATATTTGAAAGATAATATAAATTTTGTAAGTCAATTTATTTCATCACCTATTCAGTCCGGTATAGAGCTCCGATGATCCGGAGTTATACAAAAGGAAAAAAAGGGATAAAAAACAAAATTGGAATACCTCATCTTTTTACCTAAAATATTCTTGCTTATAATGTGTTATCTGATGCTAGATCTTAATATTTGATCTTCATTTGACGTGATTGCTGTATTCTTAATTTAGTAATTTTTAATTTATATTCTTTAATCCACCCTTTAAACACATTAGACGCATTTAAATGTAATGTACGTAATAATTTTTTCAATAACTCCGTCCATATGCAAGAAATTTCATTCTAAGAAAGTCAAGCGCGTAGAATATATAAAGTAAAATTATAATTGTTTAAATATAGAAAGATGTTGGATATATTTTGATCTTTAATAAAACAATGAATGAAAGTTATCGGAATTTATGCTGCGGTTCCTGCGGTTTTTAAGTAAGATTGGTAAAGTTTCTTTCATTTCGGCCGTTAATATAAATGCAAGATTATTTTATGTACTTTTTTTTTGTATTTGTCCTTATTTCCTACAATTCCACGTCATTTAGATAAATTCACCGGTATTCAATATTCCAGTACTCCCATCTAAAGATGCTGCACATGATAAAAATGGTAATTGTGTGGCGGTGGCTGGTAGTTAATAATAATCCATATTAGAACAAAACTAAAATCGCGGGTACTCCACTGATTCAATATCTTTTGATAAATATAGGTATAAGTTACACGAATTTCAAAAATGTATGTTTATTTTTGATTCTTACCATTTCAGGTCAAAATCTGCAGTCGATCAGTCTCAATCTGGAAATAAAAAATTTCTTTAATCATTGTTTAATGGTGGGATCTCTTATGATTTTAATTACGGTTAATACAGTTGTAGGGAAAAAAAAACTCAGCCAAATAATTTAAAAATATTGCGAACAAATTAAGCGCTTAATAGTTCTCCGTTTTTTTTTTAATTATATACATTCCTGTATAACAGTCTAGTTTTTTTTGAATATTATGAAAACATTCTAGATTAATATGGACGAGTACACGAAAGTGGCGTTTTTCATATTCAATACTTGCGCCGCACTACGCATAATCATTATCTATATATTTACCATTTTCTGCATTTTCTGATAATCGTTTTTACTTAAAAGAAATATTGACAATGTTGAAAAATACCAAGATTTTTTTGGTAAATCAACACGTTTTGATCGGAGTAACACCACCACGAGTTAGAAAAAATTTGTGATGTTTATGTAGGACAAAAGTTGATTCCTTTTTCAGTCAATAAGTCTTTGTAGTAGTCTCTACTTCTAAAAAAATAAATCTGAGATCTTGATTAATCAGTTATTTTATCCTAACATATCAAAAGTTCATTGTTAAAGATCAAATTATTTAAATATTTAGATATTTCACACTATTAACACTCCGATTGGATTTTAATTCACACTCCGATTAGAATGTTGAATTGTTAGAAATATATAGATAAAATTTGAGAAATCACCTTTTGTATTAAGTGCATATTCCATTTAAATGACCTCATTTGCTTTCTTTGAGTGACATCGAACTTTGTTAATTTTTTAATCTATGAAGCATGGATGACGAAATAATACATCCTCTTTCAGAACATACAGTTTTATAATTAAAAGGCCATACTTTTGAAAGATCTTTTTCCAAAACTTTTTGTTGATAATAAAGTGCAATTTAACTAACGCGTTTTTTCCTTGATATAATTATAGAATTATTGTTTATGAAATTTCCTATTTTATTAATTAACTGATTTTTCGCTTACTAATAATAAATAAATGAACGCGTTTCTGTTTTTTCTTTTTGATTTCTTCTTTTTATTATAACTCGGGACAAAAACTCATCATTCCTCAACATGAGTATAAAACAAGAGTGGGATGAAGGTTCAATTCTTCATCGTCCTAAAATGCCTAATAAGTATATTACATTTTGTATGTTTTATAAAAAAATATTAAATGAGGAATATCCTCATTTAAAACCTCAAGAGAAAGCCGCAAAGGCTGGCGAGCTGTGGAGGTTCTTACCAAATAAATTGAAAAATTCATTTGAACTTTATGCCACTTATGAAAATCATCTCGAACAATTGAGAGCACAAAATTCAAATACAAAAATTAAAAAAAGGCCGATCCTTCCTTATCCAGATTTCCAAACCGTATTCGATAGCAATCAGGAAACGGATACTTCACATTTAACTGAAGTAACTGTAAATGAAGACGACCAAATATTCAATGAAATGTACAATATGTGCATAAATGAGAATGCCTCATTGTAAAGATCCCCTTTGGCCCTTTCAAATTTTTGATTTAGACTAAGAAAATTTTTAAATAAGATTTTAAGATTACGCTTTAAGAATTAAAAAAGTTTAATTATTATGTTAAGGTTTTAAGGATGAAAAATACGCTTATTTATTATGTTGAAAATTAAGAATGAAAAATATGCTCATTATTTGAATTACAAAAGAAAAAAACATTAAAAAAAACAAATAATTTAAATAAGAACTCTACATTGATGAACAATAAGTCAATAAGGGATAAAAGAGATAAGAGAAGTTTTTAACGTCAACAAATTATCTTAGTTAATACGTTATTCGATTTTTTTTATAAACATTATGATTATATTCTTATCAGTATAGATCGTTTCTATATAAAATTAATAAAAAAATTAAGTTGCTTATAAGATTTAAAATTAAGTATAAATCAATAAACCTATTATGATAAAACTATGTTGCTTGTAAAATCTAAAATTGAGTATATTACAAATAATTTTTTTTTAAATTAATCAGCAAAGGATTTTTCCTTTTATATAAAATTTATAGGGCCTGAAAATTTTGCGCGAATATATCTGATAATGAATAAATATTTCAAACAATAAATTTCATAAATAAAATTAAACGAACAAAAGAATTGATACTTAAACCAAACCACTAAATTAAATTTTTTAATTCCGAGTTTCCGACCGAAGTTAAATATTAATTACGCGATTTAATAGTCTCAATATAATCTACAAAAGTATTTCCAAATTAGGGTTTCGGAGATCTCGGATAGTTTCGAAGTTCACTAGGCGAACTATCTCGGATTTCGAAAGCAGTTTCGCCAACAACAATAAAAATACTGTAGCATTAAGATAGTAACTTTAAATGGATTTATAGAAAAGTTATTAAATAATCGATCTACAAAAATTGAGACAAATCTGTCAGCATATTAACCTGATAATGTATTAAATGGTATTTAAACAATTGAAGCGAAAAACAATGAAAAGTATAAAAATATGGCCAACAACCATTTTTTATAGTTTTATTATAAAAAAATAAGAACTAAAGAGAAAAGGTCTAAGCATTGTTGGTATGGGATAGGAATGCGAATTCCAGACATATTTTTATGATTTAGACATTTTGGAATATAAATCAAATAATTATTTATTATCACTTTTTTATTCTTGTAAAACGAACTTTATAGATTAAAACATTGGAATCATATATTACTAAAATAATAAAATTTATTGTATTTGTTTACAGTTATATTACTTTTTACTAAGCTTAGTTTATGGTATTACTAAAAAATGTCTATTTTACTTACATTCCTGAATCTTTTATTTTTTTAAGGCTAAAAAAAAATACAAAAAATTTAATATACAGTATTATAATACAAAAAATTACTTATTATATACACTACTTGGATAAAAGTAGTGGGAATTCTATTTTTGTCAATTACTCAAAACTGTATATAATAACAATACTTGAAATTTTAATTCATGATAATATAGACATCATAAAATATATATTCAAAGTTTTACACTTCTAACATTCATATAACTATATTAATTAAAAAAAGAAATTTAATAATTATTATACTAAATAGATAAAAACAGTGGTCTCTCTATTTTTATTAATTAATTAAAATTACATATGGGGTCTTTACAGTAGAAAAGGATAAAACTGCTAGGAAAAATAAAAAATGAATTAATGCCAAATTTGGACTTATTTGAGCCTAATAATCATATTTGACATATAAACATAAATTTGATGTTTTCTGATAGTTTTGCCTCTTTTTATTGCAAAGGATCCATATAATAATAATGCTTGAAATTTTAATATATAATAATATAAATTTTAAAGAATATAATATTAAATTTTCATGCTTTTAACTTTTGTATTAATGAAAAAAAGTTTAGATAATCATTAAAATTAAAAAAAATGATGATTTTCTTTAAATAATACAAAAAACAATATATTTTATTAATTAAAATTTTAAGAAAATGTGAAAATATAGTATTGTTATTTTAAAATTAATTTCTTTCAATTTATTTTTATAATCCATATAATAATAAACTAGAAAAATGAATTTATATATATATAATATATAACTAAAATCATGTATTTATAGTTGGTAGATCTGTTAAAATTCAAAATTCTAAAACTTACAAATTCTAATATATAGGGATGTACTGGATTCAGTCCTATAAATTGAGAATTAGAATTAGGCTTAAACTTTAGACTGATAAAAAATAAGATTATAAAATTATAAGACTATATTAAAATTGTGTGACTTAAATAAATATTTGATTTTCTGATTTTTATCATTTTTTCTATCATTTTTTTATTTTCTTTATTTATTTAGAAATCAATAATTATACCATAAAAGATACATTTAATAATGCTTATTTAGCTAACAAAAATATAAAAAAATAAAATAACAGATAAAAACTTTGTATTTTATTATCAATGGTATATTTGATTTAGATTTTTTTTGTAATTTTCATAGTATTGTCACTGCAACTAATTATATACTTCCTGTTGCCCTGTAACTATTTCTTTTTCATTTATTATCTTATCTGTTCTATAAAAAATTTTATTCATTATTCTATAAAAACTCTATAAAAATAAGCCTTTCACAAATCCATTTATAAAAAATGTACATAATTTAATAAATTCTGAAATATAAGGTTATTAATTCTGAAAATATAAGCCTCTTTATAGAAAAAAAATGGAATATAAAAAATGAATTAACTTTTTTTACAGAACTGTAGTTATCAAAGTAAATAATTCTATTATATTTTAATATTGTTTAATTTTTCAAAAATTTTTAATACTAACTTATTATTTAATTAAATTTTTGTTTAATAGAGTATTAAATTACTTAGATATTTTTGATTTTTTAAAAATAAAATCTAACATCTAAGATTGTAGAATAAAAAAAATCTGAAAATAATACTATAGCCGTTTTCAATAATTCAAATAGAATAAGAATATTCTAATTAATTTATAAAGTATATTAAAATTTTAAAAACAATTAAATATTTATTTTTAGAAATTTACTACGTATCACCACTGGTGTTCACCACCGGTGTCACATGTTTATTATTTATCTATTAAATTATAGCCCCTGGATGCGGCTTATTTGTTTATTAACAATTTAGTCTAGCTCGTCTAACCCCTTGATTAAACGCGTTAGTATTCATTAGACGCGTCATCATTTACCATATTGTTACATCATATACAATAAAAATTGCTGCGCGTTATTTCGCTATAAACAATGTAGCTTCATATCGTATTGTATCATCGCTGCGGCTTGTATTCTGTCATATACCCACGGGCCTTCTCATTTTTTTTCTCTATCTTTGTCTGGTAGTTCTTTATTAGGTGACTGTTCTATTAGGTTGCAGTGAATATCATATAGCCCTATCGGTTAAAATACACACTAATACACTTTCTTATATAATTTTCGTCAAAAAATAGTAATAGCCCTCTCTGTCCAACTCCCTTATATAATTCTCATCAAAAAATAGTAATAGCCAACCCTCTCGTCCATATTGTATTACCTCTACTTATGGATAATGAAATAGACGAAATAGTCTGACCCGAAGAAACCAATAACACGTCGGAAAATCAATTATCCAGTTATAACGAAAGTGATACAGATGGTGAGATAGTCAACGTAAATGAAGTTGCATTAACGATCAGTGATTTATTCAATGATTGGGAATCAGTCCAAGTAATTATTAATTCGTATGCAAAACAAAATGGGTTTGTAGTAGTTAAAAGTCGTAAAGATGTTGATCCTATTGATAAATCTATTATCCGACAGCGTGAATATATTTGCTGGAAATCTGGAACTCATCAATCAAAGAAAGTTGAAAATATTAGTTTACACCGGGAATGTTCATCGTACAAAACAAATTGTCCGTGGCAAGCTAGTTTTTATCTTGGGAAAAAGTCGAATCTCATACGTCTTACCAAATTTGTACAGGAACATAACCATCAATGTGATCCAGAATCCATCGAATTGGCACCAAAAAATCTACGGCTTTCACAACAAATCATTGACAAAATCGAATACTACACCACAAATGGAAATCTAGGTGCTGAACAGCAGTATAAACTGCTTGTTCAAGAATTTCCCCAGTATAATATTGCAAAAAAAAACTTGTATAATGCAATTCAAAAGTTCTGGAGGGTTAGAATTCACGATAAAACTGATGCTGCCACGATGCTTTTGTCTTTATTAAAGCAAGAGAAGACGATCTGGATTATGTTGTTATACCACGATTAGAAGGACTGGCTAATGAGTTGACTGGGCTATTTTGGATGACTAGCTATCAATGTAATGATCTATGGCCCAAATATCATGATGTTATATATGATACAACCTCGAAAACAAATCGATATGAAATGGCGCTCAGTCTATTTGTTGCTGTGGACAATAATTATAAAACAAGAATTGTAGCACAAGCGTTGACTAAATATGAAAATCAGGCCGATTTTAATTGGATTCTCCAATGTACATTGCAAGCATCCAATAACCTTGCACCTAAGGTTTTATTTACTGACAGTGATCCGGCCATAATAGCAGCTGTTCAGGTAGTTTATCCGCAAATACGCCACTTATTATGCATTTACCATCTCCTTGAAAATGTAAAAAAAAAAGCCAAGTCTAAGCTTCGAGGTGACATGGCGTCGAGTTTCGTTGAAGATTTTTACACTATGAGGAATAGCTACAGCGAAAAACAATTCAATATGAAATATCAAGAAATGTTGGACAAGTATGAGCCATGTTGTCCATATCTTGAAAAACGAATTTATCCTAGTCGCGAATCTTGGACTCGATATTGTATTTCAAAAATATTTACTGTGGGCATAGAAAGCACACAGCGTGTAGAATCGATAAATGGCGTTATAAAAAAGCTTGTTGACCGATACACGTTGTTAAAAGAGCTAGTAACGGCCATTGAATGCGAATTAGACAAGGAATCTCATTATACCTGAATTAATGATTTTTATGGATCAAATCCGTCAGTTGGGCTTCCGTTAACCTATAACACCATTTTCAAAGAACTTGATTCTGTATTGCAAGCGAATTTATTGGCTATTCCCTTGTCAATTCAAAGAGCCCAAATGAACCAATCGTTGCTTTATCAAGCTAATTTGGTTTCAATTAATCAGGTTGAAGACGAAGAAACCAATTTTAATAACAGCGTATTAGGTATATTAGGACATTCACATGATATACCTCAAATTCGTTTGCGGGAACTCCTTAATAGTATATCTTACAATGATATTACTGAGATTTGGGAAGTATCGTATATTGCATCGAAAACTTCCAAATCACACTACGTTGTTATACTTAAAGATGTGACGTTACTTTGCACCTGTATGTTTATTGTCAATCAAGGAATGATATGCCGTCATCAATTCAGGGTGCTTATTCAGTCAGACAACGTGATATTTCATATTTCACACATTCATACACGTTGGTTTAATTTGAGTTCAGATCCGCCTACCAACTCAACGGGTTTTATTACGATTGTAAATGGTGAAAAAAATCATACAACGATACCATTGAGTTACATGAATCAATTAAGAACAGATAACGTATATACTCCAACAATCAGAGAAAAGGTCAATAAAAAAATTCAATATGGCGCCACAATGTCTATAGCTAAAACGAGTATTCAAATCGCTGTTACGGAAGATGTTACAGCTGAATTAATCAGAATTTTAACGCAATTTATTATGAAATATCGTAGAAGTAATGGTTTAAGCATTGAAAAGAGTAAGTATTATTTCTTTCTTGGATACCATAGATACCATATATTGTATAGCATAGGTTTAAGCTTCAAAAATACTAAAAACTTTATTTTTTTTTTCAGGTACCGAATCATTACAGGATTTGCAAGGATCTTCTATTCAAGATAATCCTCAACCTTTATCCGTTCTTCCTGATATATCAAATCCTGAGTATCACAAACCAAAAGGATGACCTCCAAAGCGGTATAAATTGACAGTAGAAAATAATTGTATTACATCAGGAAAACCCGATGATGTAACAGTACAGAAAACATGCAGTTATTGCTCCGGAAAAGGTCATAATATCCGTGGATGTCCAAAATACAAAGCTGAATCATCCGCCAACAAAGAAAACGAATACTTAGTTTAGTTGGGTAAGACGGTTAATAGTGTAATAGTTAATTGTTGTACACTTGCATTCAAATAAAAAATAAACAAAGATTTAGCTTTTGTATCAATTTCTTTTATTAAATGTATAAATTTATTACAAAGTTTTTACATATAAATTAGAAATAATAGTTTCTGCGCATTAAGAAATTTTGAAGTCACGTGATATATGATCACGTGACACTGGTGCTGACCACCAGTGGTGGTAAATAGTAAACTTCTTATAAATATTAACAACTTTTTTATTAATTTTTACTATGTAGTTAAATTCAAAATATATGCAAAATACCTATAATTCTATTGCAAATTTTTTTGCTATTATTTTTCCACATATTACTATAGTTACTTCATTATTAATAGTTAATATTAAAGTATTTTTAAAAAAATGTAATTTTATTAAAACTGCTTTTATTATATTTGCAATATTTTTTCCAATATAATGCTAATATCATTAATATAACTATTAATAATAATAATTATAGTAAAGGATCAAATGTAAAAATAATTAATAGTTTTATTTAATTCTATTCAATCTAATTTAAGTTAATTCCAGTTTTTGTAGGACTGAACTGCAGATCTTACTTATTTGTGACATAGTAGGATTGAATCAAAATAGGAATTAAAATTAATTTTACAATAGTTAAATTAATCAAAATCAATTCTGAATTGATTAATTAAAATTACATAAAAAAATTAAATCTGACAATTAAACAATTTTTTTATTTTTATAATTTTTTATGATTCTAGTCAAATTTGTTTCCATTGATATTTAGCCTAAAATAATATAAAAAATTTAAGTGTTTAATTTAAAAAAATTTTAATTCCAGCTAGTATTAAAGTTCAACTAGAATTAACTTTATACAGTATAATCTAAAAAAAAGTTTTTAACTTTTTTGGTTACAAAGTAGTATAAAACTTATACTAATTAATAGGAAATAAATACATATGTTTATAAATAAATAGTATATAGTCAAAATTTGTATAATGTTATTTCATAAAAGCCTTTATTTTAGCAAAATTATTTCTAATGGTTAAAAGTAGTCAATTTAATCAATTTGGCCAATTTAATAAAAATTCATGATTATTAGTTATTTCAAAGCCAAATTGACCATTTTTAAGGTCAAATTGATTAGTTAGAACTTAGAATTAACTAATAAAAATTAGTAGTGATGTAAATATTAAAAGAATAAAAAAAATTGATTTTCTATTAGAATTAATTAACTAAAACCAAAAATTAAACCTTTAAATTGAATCTTAAGATTTGATTAATCATAACTAGTCAATTCTAGAATTGATTTTCAAAATTAAAATCAATTCCAATACTTAAACCAGAGACTGATCAAGAGACCATCAGTATTCAGTAATGGTTAGTCTTTTATTTTTACATCACATTTTACCTTTTTTTTAGAAAAGGTTTGGAACCTTAATTGTAGGTCTTTTTTAAAAATATTTTTTTTTGATTTTTTTTTTAATTACATGAACATTTTATTATATTAACAAAATATAATTTATAGTATGGTCTTTTGAAGACTACGATCTTAAAAAAAGACCGCAGTCTTTGTTGATTTATCATGTGGCCGGTAAGGATCGCGTCCTTTATGGTCCAGTCTTTTTGCCCATGTAGGAGACCGGGGAAGACCATGGTCTTTAGGACCATTGACTATCTTTAATCAGATGAGCAAGAGGATTAGGATTTTTTTTTCTTAATATGCTGATGCTAATACAAACCTAGTTATTATTTTTTTTCACATCTGAAAATGCTAAAATATATCTCCTGAAGAAGTTATGTTAGTAGAATACGAAAGCAAAATATATTATTCATTAATATCACTTGTAAATACACATGTTTAAAAATTCAGAATAAAATTCTTTATTATAACTTTGTAAAGTAATACGTGAGAAAGGGCCGGCCAGCTAAGTAAAAAATGATTGGAGTAGATCTTGTTTAAGGGAGGAAAGAGTATTTAAAGAAAATTGGTAGAGATAAAATAATAATAAAATGATTAAAAAATAAAATAAAACATTTGATAATGAAAAATCAGACAACGAAATCATTGAACAAATAAGAAACGCCTTCATAACAGAAAAAGACGCCATCAAATTTAAATCTCATCAGATATGAATAAATAATAAATCATCAGTATATTTTAATTATCATATCAAATTCAAGAAAATCGATCAAAAAGAACTAACAATCTTATCTTTCATAAATACACAAACAAATATTCCATCAATAAAAATATCCAAAACTATATTCCGATGATGCAACCAGTACAGGCGCATTTCCCGGCTTAGGATTATAATTTAAAGCTACCGCATAAGTGTTATTTTATTACTGGTGCCTGGAACGAAACAGTATTTGACATTTCCTTATTGTAATTATGGAAATCTTTATGTTTAGAAAAGTTACTGTATATTCAACTACTTGATCTGAACGTCTGCAGTTCATACACGTTCGCTGTATCCCCATTATCATAATATGTATTCACTCCGGTATGCACATCTCCTGCTTTAACGTATGCTACATCAGATGAACAGGAAAGTTTATTTTCAATACCAGTCCATGTTCTGATATATGGATTTTCAATGCAAAGTGCCTGAGCAGATCCAAACTGATCGTCATAATCAACACAAATTTCGTCCGCCTCACATGCTATAGTAAAATGGTCGATAGTACCATCAGGAAGTATACAGTTAACAACTATTGTCCTTATTTTCTCGCAATATGAAGATAGGAGTACGTCGTTTTCATCATTACATTTGGCAAAATGACTTCGCTTACGGCGACTAGTCAATTTTGATGATACCTCTAGAGGTGCTCTTATGGTTATAGTTGTGATCGCAATAAAAAAAAAGCGTATATACACAATTTAGCAAACATACTCACTCTACTTGTGCTTTAAGTTGTTTTTGTCGAAGGATACAAATGTAGGATCACACTATTTATACACTCTTCTTACGTATATCAATACTTTATTTTGAAATTTGTTATGAAATTAAAATTCATTATGTGATTCTGAGATCGGAAATAAAATCGTCTCAGATTCATAAAGAGCTTCATATCAAATCAGATCTGCTTGGGAGTAACTAGATTCCCCCCCTTTTTTCTCATTTGCATTCAAAAAAAAGAAAAGGATAAATAAGACCCTATATGTGGAAATGCTTTATTAATATATGCTTTAAATACACGTGAACGAAATTCTGTTTTTTTCTGTGTCCGGGCTCGTCAAAATTGCGCAGAAGAAACGGCGCAGTATATTTATATCAAAACCCTTTGTTTTAAGATTTCGGCCATTACATAATCTTTTTCATCCTTAGTTAGATTTAAGATAAAACCCGGAAGGGTTTCGGAACTCTACATTCTTTTCCGCAAAGCTTCGTCAGAACATTTTACTTCGGGAATCGCTTCTCTAGACTCACTTTTGACTAGTACTTGAAATCCATCCTTACCATGTTCGGGTTTTAATTCTTTGTATCGTTTAAATATAGCTTCCCAAAAATCAAAATAGTTGTAAATAAGACCTCGAGATGCATCTTCATTTTTAGATTCTAAACTATCAATCTTGTTGGAGAGTTGCAAAAAAAATACTACCAGCTTCATTCATGACATTTGTTTCTTCTACCGGGAACAGGTACTAGATCAGTTAACAACTCCTCGATAAGTTTTTCAGCGTACTCGACACCTTCCCACCAATCTTTTTCGCTTTCTTGTTAGAGGATTTTCGGTAGATGCGGACGATCTCTAGTACGTTTTTTCTGCGTATCATATCACTCGAGTCCAGAGTTTCCAACCCTTCAGGCGATGGGCAAGTAGGACACATCTTGCGAGAAATCTCGATGCATTCATAATGTACAACATGCTTGCAGGGTAAAAAAATGGTTGGTTTCAAGAATTCTAGGGAGATTACCTCGGAGCTTTTTCACATATAGGACGTTGGATCTGAAAGTTTTCTGCATTTCAGAATTGCCAGGTGTAACAACTTCAATAGGGCTGGTTGCCTGGTCGAAGTTTCTTTAGCAACCTCAGTAATCTTGGACGAACTTTGTTCTCTCCGCCTAATAATCCTAACTCGTTCATAACAATTACATTGGCATCCTCATCCACTGGCTTGGAGGTGGTGTTTTCATCAGCAGTTGTAGACTTGTCTACAATACCGCTGGAGAGATAAAAGTTGCCTTTGCAATCCCAATTTAGACATATAGCTTTACTACGGCGGCTCACCAGATAATTACGCTCATTTCATTAATCCCCCTTGCAACTCAATAAAATGACTTCAGGATTAGCATACGCATATGTGATGATTGCAAAAAAAATATCTATATTCGAATGTTGTTTTATTAATATGACCGGGGACATGACACGCAAAAATGAATACAAAGATTCGGGTGATACGTGACGTCTATGCTATATGTACACGATTATTTTTTCGATCGATAACCCTCTATCCTAACCTTTTTTCTGTTGGGCTCATCATTCAAGCATGCTCTACCCTTTAATAACTCAACAACAACACCTAAAACTTTTTCCACGCTTTCACACAAAACCTGACGATCCTTAGACTCCTTCTCCAAGGCATCATCTGTGAATTCGATGGTGAAAGGTAACTTACTCCCTCTATAAATCTCACCTGGCAAGTAAAGCAAAAAATGCCAGTCACGTCCCGTAGAAACTAGACAATCAAAATATTCGTCGCCTCGTTTTCGCTTCCTCTTTATTCGTTTCATACGAACTCTCAAGCTGGACTATATTCTGAGAGAATCCCTCAATTATTTTCCCCACTATCTTATCTCCCGTGATGCAAATAAGGTCATAGTTTCCTGAAATAAATGTATTGTATGAACATCTTCCTGTGAGACGTGCTCAAAAAGAAAATGCCAAGAAAAAATATTCACTTACCCTTATTGCGTAATCAACTCGGCCTGAGTTTTCGTTGCCAATTATTTTGCATTCAGGTCTCATCCTGAAATTGTTTGCTGTAGCAATATTGATTGCAGTATGGAGAATTGCCACGACATACTCATTTCGCATAACCTCCAAACTGTCTGGTTGTAATGTTCCGTAGTTTTTTAGCCTGACCAAAATCTCTGCCAAGCAATGCTTATAATGTTTGTCACTTTCCGGAATTTCGTGGGTTTGAAGTTCAAACAGCGGGATATTTCCAAACCATTATCATCCACTCCATATTTCGCCAAACATTACCCAAGTCCTTCTTAGCCTTGTACGAGGAGCCATTCGTTGAATGGTTTCGAGGGTGTTTCTATGAACACGGTAAACTTGAGATTGTCCTTTGATACGAACAGCCGGAGCATTCATGAAGATCATGATCGTTACGAGGATAGTATTTTCCGCTGTCAATTAACATGTTAAGTACCGCTCCATCATTCTCGAGTGCTGGCGTCTGATTTATAGCGCGTGTGGAGATTTTGAGACCTTCAAAGTTGCGTGTTCGATATTCACGGTTTACTTGAAGAAGCCCTTCGCCCGTTTCGGACTAACGACGACGTCGAACTCCATAATGCAACAACCAGGTTAAGGCAGTAAGTAATTTGACGTGAAGCATCGTTTCCCGAGGGAGCAGTTTCATAACCGTTTCATAACCTGAAGATTTCAGCGACCCTTCCGAAATTTTGCCAAGAATAATTCTTATCATGAAACAGACTTGTTAAGCAATTCCTGCAACGAAACCAGTTTCTCTCTTAGCTCCAATACCTCGTTCGAAGCAGCAGTCGGGTGGTTCGACTATTACATGAGTACATTCTTTGCCGGTGAGCCAGGGAAGTATTTCGAATTCTTCTTTGTCGCAAGGAGTTCGGATTGGTCTTGTAATGTGAGATTTTTCAAGAGATCGTCGCGATCAAATTTCTACCTTCCGCAGCTTGAGCTTGTCTGCATCCACACCAGCAAAGTCATTCTGTTTTTCTGCTTTAATAGCTTTTTAAGGTCACCAACAAGACTATTTTTTTCTATGCGGACAGGAAAAGCATTTGCGAGTTGTCTCCTTTGACGAGACAGAGTAACGTGACAGTATTTTTTGCGAACTAATTTTAGTGTGGTACTATTCATGTGAACGGTGAACACCATTAGATCTTCCCCAGTAACACCATCAAAAAAAGCTCGGGCATGTGATTTTTGAGCATTTGAGCATGTGATTTTGTTACATTATATGAAACCTGTAGAAATACCAAGTAAGCAATAATACCAGATTCAGGAAAAAAAAACTCTTCCCCCTTTCCGTCTGATTTCATAGAATTCCGCAGTATACATAATTTTTTTAGATAAAATTTTTTTACACTCTACGTTGGCATAAAAGGAGTGAGGACCACTTGGTGGCCTCGACGGAAAGTACTCCTAATACACCCCGTTGCTTTTGGAATGAGTTTTTTCATAATAGTATACCAAAATTTTTATAGTTATGTCGTCTTCAAAATCTTCAAACATTTTACCTTCCCTTGAGAAAAAATATTCCCTTGACGTTTCTTTTTCCAAATTTCACGTGACTCGTCCCAATCGAGCTGGTTACAACAAAATTTATGACATCAGTAGATCAAAAAGTTTCTTTTTTGAGTTAGTCAATCATCATACAAACACCAATGAAATTCATCTTAAAATACACACAAATGATTATCACATGAAAACAACCCCTATTAGTTATCCTAACACAAGTAAACTCCCTAATGACAAATACCAGATTAGTGTTATGCTCACGCATTTTTTTTCTTTACAAAGAGTTTTACCCAGGCGTATTCAACAAAAATTTTTTAATTTTATCCGAGATAAATTATTACTACGAAAAGCGATCATCATGTCACGTGCTAGTAAAATTGACTCACGTAACACTAGTACCAAAAATTTTTTTAACTTCTCCTATAAACGATATCGTTTTCACTTTGGAATTTATATTCCTTGTTCTCATGATCATTTTATTTCTAAATTCTCTGGATTTACCCCTCCGAAAACTATTTGTAAAATACTGGCGCCATTTGTAATGTCCGACTTTAGAAGGGCTTGCGTTATTCATCAACCCTTATTCTTTAAAAATGATGTATTTACACATATTAAATCTCCTAAAAAGACACTTAACATTGATCACACAAATCCTTTACTTACCCAAAGATTTATCATGCTAATCTTTTATACACTCGTTGGAATACACATAGAACTAAAAGAATTTATTCTCGAAGATTAGGAATATCTTATGAAGAAACGATCCATGCTCGTGATCGCCATTCCATTACACACCTTAATAATAAACATATATATAGGAAAAAACTTTCTAATTTTTGTATCCGATGTAGTCATAATCCTCGAGTGAGTAAGACTCAAGAGATTCGTTTTGATCAGGCTAAACGACGCATTTTTCACAAAAAAGAACACAACCCTCTCAACCTTATACGGCATAAACTTGCTACTGCGCAAAGATATTGGTTTATGTTTTCAGATTCACAATTTGTTCTTAAACCCATCAAACATCTTCTTTACAACCACGGTCTCCATCATCGAAATTATAAGTTTTGGACACCCTTTTTTGGACGCTCTGGTAAAAGAATTACGACTACCACGCTCGACGATACTTCATCACCCAACATTAATTATACAGTGGCCCCCTATAACCCAATCCCTAATATGTTTATCCCTCACAAATATAGAAATATAATTCCTAAGGAACCGCTTTACACAGAGGAGGGTGTATATATAGTTCCAGGTTCCAGAGAGTGGTTTACTTATATGTATAATTTACACATTAACTTGTCTCCACCACTTACAAAAGCGCAACGTCGCGAGAAGAATAAACTTGAGCGTATCAGATTAGACAAGAAAGAAGCAAGTTTTCATGGGTCTTCATTTAATCGTTACCCTACACGAAAACACTTGGCGTTTACATTAACCAGAATTAACGAGCGTTTTCACGAGGAAATGATGGATTATACAAATCAATATTTGGCATCTGACGATGAAAAGATCAAATCAGACATTTATAAAATTATGAGCGATTTTACCATAAGATTCATTAAAGGATCTAAAGGGCGTGTTAGCGACGTCAAACGAGCATGCTACCTTCCTCCAGGAGCGACTGTGGACACTTCCGACGATGCTAAAGAACTTGAACTCAGACCTAAAAAAAGAAGACTTTCTTCGAATACTAACCTTTACCCATTAATTGACAACACCGAACGATTTAAACGTAGACGTTTCTATCCTGCCGTTATGGACGACTCAACAGGAGCGGAGCTTTATTGATATTAAACATTTATATTTGATTTTGAGTCAAAATTTTTTCTACTTACCAGTAGTTTATTTCTACATCTTATTTTCTTTTTATTATTGACACCCAATTTGAGTAACCAAAAAACAATTTAGAATAGTGTGAACCATTCCAACTCTGACAGTATTTACAGTTGGCGCCCTTTTAGGCGAAAGAAAAATATGGGATTTCTCACCCCTTATAGAAGTTCGATTTTTTACATAGTGGTTCTTTTTTTACACATTTAGAAGCTAATGATATCATTAATTATAATTCTTCTTCATCAATAGATATTTGTTTATTTTATAATGTATAGTTTTGCCACACTTAATTTCTATATATACGACCTTTTATATATACATCATAATTTACCACATTAATGTAGTTATTAGATAGCAGTTTATCTTTTTCTGGTTCCCTAGTTCTATGTTTCCTTTTATCTGCTCCTTTATCGGTCGTGTTGTTGGAGCAGTCTATTATATATAAAAATTAGGTAGGGTCTGCCCCTCGGGATAGATGATGGACTAAATGTTGGGCACATTCTTTGGATAGATGCTCTCTTAGAATAGTTCTTCCGACTTTACATAAAATAAATAAATAAAATAAGCAATAATACCAGTTCAACAAACTAAATTGCAACTGTAATTTATTTTTAAATTAATGTATTTTAATAAATTGAAATTGAATAATTACTCTAATTTCATTATGTTTTACTCTTATGGATTAACATCTATAAAATTTTATTATATTCTCAAGCAATCATCTTTGGAGTAAAGTAATTATCAATCAACAGAGTCAATAAATGGTAATTGATCCAACTCTTCAGTTAGAGTTTTTATCTAAGAGCAGATTTTTTGAAGTTTCGAAAATAATAATATAAATATAAGACAATTTATTATAAGATAAGTTTAACATAAATAATGCAAAAATTCTGTTTATTATAAATAAGAACCAAATGGGACTTATAGTTTATCAGCAAAATGATAGATTTAATGTATTTCATAGTGCTTACTAATGAATATGTTTCATTTAATGGAATAAATAGAAGCTGAAGTTTTCTGCAAAATTCATTATAAGTATTAGACTGAAATCAGAAATAAAGAAAAGGTATTATTAAAATTAATAATGATTATAAAAACTGAAAAACAATTCTTAAAATATACATTATTGATTAATTTATTAATATAATTTGTAAAACTATAAATTAAAAAAAAAATAAAAAAAAATAAAAAAAATTAATATAATTTGTAGTATTATTAATTAAAGATATTAGCCTTAATTATTTTTTAAAAAAGTTTGAATTACGGTTATAAGATTTTTATAACCTTAATTAATTACGGCATATAAAAATTTTGTGTTATAACACTTTTTTGAATTAAGGTTAACATCTTTATTATTAATGACAGAATTCTATTTATAATCATGTATAATTTTTAATTTATTTACAAAAAGCTTATTTGTTGTGTCGATTATATTTGAACAGATTGGTTCACTATAATAAAAAAATGATAAAATTAGTCAGTTAATAATGTAAAAATATAAATTAGCTTTAATAGATATATTTTTACTTATTAAATGAATTTTGCTTGCTGTTTTTCTTAATTTAATCATTTTATTAAATCTTAATTTTCAGATATAAAGTAAATTTGATAAAGCAGAATATGTAGTCTATTGTACTTACTAGTCATTTCTGTACTGAACCTTGTACTTTTTAGCTTAATGATGATAGATAGATTTGGTACTTTTTATGATGATGATAACATATTCTTCATAGTTTTAACCAAAGTAATAAAAATTTTTGAGAAAAATTATGGTAACAAATTTTTATTATCATAGAGTTGCATTTTATACTGATTTTTTAACTGAATTAGCTAACTTTTTATTCTATAAATATAGAAATTATTAAAAATTATTATTTAAAATTTAAGGTAATATATGGTCTTATTAATATCCTAACTTTTTTTAAAAGAAATAATTGCTTCTGCTTTTTTTGCTTTAGTTAATATATAGATATAAAATTATCATCAGACTAAATATAAAAAAAAAAAGGTAATTTTTATCAAACAATCATTTTCAACTAAACAAAATACCTCTCTACTGTTTCTCAATTTCTAGTAAAAATATAAGTACAGTCGCCTCAGAAAGTATCGCCCAATTTTTTGTTGTGTAATGATACACCCAATTTAAATTATTTATACCCCTATTTTTTATTATTTTAAATGTTTTCCTCATAATTTTATGACCTGATGAACGCATTGCACGGTTAAAAAAATTATGTCACATTATACCGAATTATCTTCTCTAGAGAAAGGAAAAATACTAGCATATATGGAAAATTTTAACCCTGCACAAATAGCAAGAAAAATGGGGCGTGACCCTACCACAATACGTAGATTTATTGACAAATACAAGAAGACAGGGGTGACTGAAAATTTACCATGATCAGGACGGCCACCTGCTCTCAATAATAATGAGAAAAATGCACTTATAAATGAAGTTAAGAAGAACAGACGTGAACCTTTACATGAAATTATTAATACATTGGGCTTAAATTGCAGTCTAACAACTGCTAGACAGACACTATATGATGCTGGAATCCATTCCCATGTTGCAGCAAAAAAACCTTTTGTATCAAAAAAGCATGTATTAGCTCATGTTAGTTGGTGTGAGAAATATAAAGAAAAAACAATTCAGGATTGGAACCAAGTTATTTTCTCTGATGAATCAAGTGTTGAAATTGGCAAGCAGTCAAGACAGATAAGAGTTTGGAGACATACAGGGGAAAGGTTTAACATTGAATGTTTGACACCTACTTTTAAAAGTGGTCGAAAATCAGTTATGGTTTGGGTATGTTTTGCTGGAGGAATAAAAGGACCATTAATTTTTTGTGATGAAAATAAAGAAGGAGGTGAAAAAATCAATTCAAACACTTACATTAGAATTTTAAATTCACATTTATATCCATTTCAACACACAGTTTGCGAATTAACAGGAAGAGCTGCAATTTTCCAACAGGATAATGCACCTATTCATACCACGAAAATAACCAAAAATTGGTTGAAGAAGAATAAAATTGCGATTATTGATTGGCCGGCAAATTCTCCTGATTTAAACCCAATAGAGAACATCTGGAAACAATTAAAAGACAATATCCAGGCCCGTAAGACCTTTCCAAGAACTGTGAGTGAACTTAAAGTTGCACTAAGTAAAGAATGGGAAAATTTGGATTGTTCCATTTTTAAAGAGGTTGTTGCTTCGATGTTACAAAGAATCAATGCAGTGTTAGAAGCAAGAGGAGGGCCAACACATTATTAGTTATTTTAGAAATTAATTTTTTACGTAAAGTTTAATAAAAATTAATAAAATTTGGCTATTTTTGGTATCAATTTTAAATCAGGCAATACTTTCCGAAACGACTGTACATATACTTCTTTTTGATCTCTTTTCCAGTTTTTTTTTTTGGAAATTTAATATTATTGACTATTTCAAAGTCATTCATTACAGAATTTCCAGTGAATATTGGATTGTGAAAACAAAATATAGATTTCACTTTGATCTGTTTATATTTAACTTCCTATCTTTTTACTTACTTATAATTTTTTAGATCAATCATTTTAAATAAAAGATTTTTTAAGAATTAAATTAATAATTATTTTTAACTGATAAGTACTGTACATAATTTTCCTATCCCAACTGGTCAGCAAAAAGCTTTGATATCAGATAACTGAGTGAATCACCTATGTTTATTTAAGACTTAAATATAAGGCAATTGAGTAGGTCATCTATATCTCAGTAGGACTAATACTGATTTAGGTAAATGGTCTTCTGAACATTAAACAACTAAACAGATTATTTGCATTTCAGTAATAGTTTTGTAGCTTAGTGAACAGCTTTAAATAATAAAAACCAAGTAGATTCTTATCATACCACTATATTTTATCTATATTTTAGTAAAAAGTATTTTATCTTTCTATATTTCTTAAAGAGAAACTTTACTTTTATCATTCTTTTTCTTACTCAAAGATCATAATTATATTGAAACTTCTAAAATATTTATCTGTTTTTCTTTGAAATTGCTTTTTGTTATATTTCTTTAAAAAGTCAGTTATATTCTATTTTGATGATATTTAAGTAAAATATTTATAAATTTTATTAAATATAATTATTGTGATTCTGAAATATATAATATAAAAAACAGTTTGAAAGAAAAATCAAATATCAATCTGATATATGTCAAATAATTTAATTATGTGTCAAATAATCATTTTGTAAAAAAATTTTCCTATTTTTAGTTTTATTTTTACTTTGTTTATATTAATAAATAAAATAATATAATGTTTAAATTATTCAATTAATTAATTGATAATAAACTAATAAATAATTAAATATTCATTAATTAATAAAATAGATAAGTTTCAAATAAATTATTAAAAGATTATTGAATTATTTAAATTAATAAAATGGATAAAATACTGAAAATTTATTATGATAAAATGAATAAAACAATTAAAATTTATTGAATAATAAAATGGATAGAATTCAGATAAAAAACTGAAAATTTATTATAATATTTAAATAGATAAAATTCAGATAAAATACTGATAATATATTAAATAATTAAATGGATAAAATTTAAATAAAATGCTGAAAATATATTAAATAATTAAACACTATAATTTTAGTATATAATTACTAATAAATTTTAATTAAACAATAGTTATATTATATAATTTCAACTTTACTGTTTAGATTTCTTGCCAGATCTTGTTTTATATGAAATTTCTATTAGTTTCTATTAAAAAGATTTTTTATTCTTCTTTTATCTTTCCAAATATTATTTTTTTTTTCTACAATACATTTGATAGTTTATTAAATAGCAAAAAGAATCAGTAAAATACAAATAGTAAAATAACCTAAACTAACTATGTATTTAATATTATTAACTACCAAATCACTTGTCATGCTAAAAAGTATCTCACATATGCATTGTCAGGTAAAATTTTTGCTCAGAGGGTATAGTTTGCTTAGAAGTGACCATTTTTAGCATAAAATACCTTTCTTTCTTTACAAAGTATTCATAGAACCCATTATATTACAAAAAGAAAGAAATTTTATTATAAGAATTGTAAAATAAGAAGAGTAACCATCCATCCAGATCACTCCTTTCACAGGTATCTAAAGAAAATGTAAGCTAGAAACCTCTTTTAATCAGGTCATAGGATCTAAGGCACACATTATAAAACTAAAACTAACCAGTTATAGAGGAAAAAAACTTTGCAAAATTTTATTGAAAAACATGTAAGAGGTTCCATTTACAATTTATAAATTGT